ACCCCCCTTACGGTGGTAGTCACAATGGTACCCTTACATAGAGCTAAAGCGATCACTGGGGACGTGTGGCTGGCTTTGCCAAGTGGGGTTGGGCTTGGGACTATGGAGGCACCATCAGATGAGAGGTCAATCAGTCACAGCCAGTGGTGTCACAAGGGGGGTGCGGGGGCTGCAGCCCACACCCTGGTGCCACCATTGGAGGGGTGACACCAAAATGACTGACTGACTGACAATGGTGTCACTGCTATAAAAGTCCGGCACTCGGTCATGGACCGGGGGCCGACAATGTGACAGGAGAGAGGAGGGGACCCGGCGTCATGCCTCATCCCGCCAGGTCCCCTCCTCTCTCCTGACACTGTCGGGCTCTCGGTCCGTGAATGTCCCCTCCTCTCTCTGCCGGCATCCATCATTAAGATGGCCGCCAGCAGGCGTCAATAAGATGACTGCGCATGCGTGATGACGTCACGCCGGGGTGTCATCTGGTCTCCCCTCCGGGTGACACCCAACCTCGGGACTCCCCTGGCCACAATCCAAGTGTCCCCGTGGTTGAGAATGGCTGTTCTTAGTAGACGATCCCCGGCGCCTCCACAGCTGGAGCGAGGACAAGAATGTTTTGGAAACATTTAATGAGAGAGTTCAGAACCTGATCTCACATCCTTCATCTTTACAATCCGGCACTTCTGTTTAAAGTGATCATAAAACTTGCTGTGACACGTGAAGAGGTCTAGAGGACTGAGACGGAAGACATTCCAATAAACAGATTTGCTGTAATGTTTATACAACGTAACGGCGCTAATGCTGCGAAAAAGAGGAAACGACCAGATAATGGCCAAACACATTCCGGAGCTCCTAACTGTCCCCAGGGCCGGATTTACTCTCTCTGCTGCCCCAAGGACAGATTCCTCAATGCGCCCCCCCCTACCCGCCAACCCCCCTCCCCATAGAGAATGGCAGGCTGCATACAAGTGATCTCGGCGACATCACCGAGATCACTTGTACAAAACAAGCGGCGGCCTCCCCAACCCTGACTGTCCCCTTTAGGAAACCATTCCCCCCGTCCGTCTTTCCTTCTCATTTTTCCTTTTTCGGTCTAACATGTAGACCAATATAAAAAAAAAAATGTAAAGCGGATTCAAACCCAAAGAACAAAAATGTTATACAGTGAGTGGCCAGATTATTATATACACTGAGTGGCCGGATTATTATATACACCGAGTGGCCAGATTATTATATACACTGAGTGGCCAGATTATTATATACACTGAGTGGCCAGATTATTATATACACTGAGT